CCTCCCCCAGAGCTTCACCACCTGGGCAGGCGGGTCGTCCTCGTGTCCAGAGGCTGCAGCCGGAGCCCATTGCTGCTTGTCCCGTCCTCGTCCTCCGGCCAAGGGGACAATTTGTCTCCCTCCCTGTGACACCCTTTTAGATACTTGAAACCCGCTTTCATGCCCCTCTCTTCTCCCTTCCAAACTGACCCAGCCCAGTTCCTCCAGCCTCCCCCCTCGCGCATGTTCCTAGACCCTTCCTCAGTCCTGGCCCCTCTCCAGCGTCTCCACGTCTGTCCTGCCATGCGGAGCCCAGGACTGGACGACCCTCCGGCTGAGGCCTGAGCAGCGCGGGAGAACGGCCCCTCGTGTCCTGCTCCCCACACGCCTGCCCGTTGGCTCCTACGTAGCTTGAGGTCTGCTCTGAGCCTAGATCCCTTTCCGCAGGATCCTCCCTGCACAGTCGCTTCCCGTTCTGCGTGTGACACGGATTCCTCCTTCCTCAGTGCAGCACGTCGCATCCGTCCTTGTTCAACATCGTCCGCGGACCTCCGCCCCTTTCTCCAGCGTGTCCAGATCAGTCTGAATTGACCCGTCCCCCAAAGCCCTCGCCGCCCTCCCAGCTGCAAACGTAAGAAGCCTCCTCTCTGTGCCAATCTCTAAATCGTGGATGAAGATATTGACCAGAGCCGGTCCCAAAACAGACCCTGCGGGACCCCTTGGGAACCGTTAATAACGACTCTCGGAGAACGGTTTTCCAGCCAGGCCTGCCCCCGCCTTCCAGCAGCCTCCTCTAAGTTGTATTTCCCTCGTCTGTGAGTGAGAGCGTGCGAGACCGTGTCGAGCGCCTGCTGGAGTCTAGCTCCAAAGACGGTCGCAGAAAACGGCGTTGGGGGCATTTCTGATCGGGCGTTGGGGGGTGAAATCCGTTCTGCCAGGCTGGTCCCCCCTTCCCTCGGTCTGTGGGGCTTGACGTTTCTCCCTGTGACGGCGAGTCGGGGCCCCCGGCCCTGCAGCCCCGTAGCAGCACAAACAGACTAGGGGGGTTATTGATTTTCCAGAACACAGCCCAGCACACACATGATGTGGCTACCGGGGGCAGGGCCAGGATGCCTCAGACCCTAGAGTTAGGGGCCCTCGCCCCTAGGATCCCCACTTAGCCTCTTCTCTCCATGCGTCCCCACAGCAGCTGCCCCTTTCCTGAGACCTCCTGTTAGTCTCACGCTCCCTTCCCCGTGTTGTTAGTCCCGCACGTGCGACCAGGCCATTTGTCGGCCCTTCCCTATTGCGTGTCTGCGCGATCTCGCTCCGGGCTGCCGGCTCGGTCGCCGCGCTAGGTGTAACTCACTGAAGGGGGTGGGGTCGGATCAGTTCGGGAATGTGGCCGGGATTGGTTAGTAAAATGATACTAAAATAATTGGTTACGCTCTAGCTAAGCAGGACTCGGGTTTCACTATATAAACTGGGGTCCAAGCAGGAAGAAGGTGGCAAGTCACAGAAGGAAAGAAGCAAAAGGCTGGAAGATTAGGAACACTAAGAAGAAGGGGGAAGACCTGGAAGAAGAACAAACCTGCAAGAAAAAAACCAGGACGATGCGGCACTTTAAAGACTAACAGGAGGGTTTTTAGGGGATGAGCTTTCGGGGCCCAGACCCACTTCCTCAGATCAAATAGTGGAAGAAAGTAGTCACAGCCATAGATACCAAAGGAGACAATTACAAAAATGAACACATCTGAAAAGGACAAATCACATTTCAGAACAGAAGGGGGATGGCGGAGAAGAGGGGGATTCTAATGATAATCATTAGGTCACAGACATTTACTAACGAGGGGATCTCGTTAGTCTTTAACGTGCTACATAGTCCTGGTTTTTGTTTCAGCTACACCAGAGTAACACGGCTCCATTTCTGTCACTATTCACTGCGAGAGACAGCGTAAGAGCAGAGACTGATCTCGCCCGGCCCACAGGGGAAGTCGGCCTGTACCCGGATGGGGAGCGTGACGCCGTGTGCTTGGCGTGTGCGTTCTGCCTGGCTGGGAATTGTCAGGCACTAGAGGATCAGGATGTTACTGGGTGAGGCTCCTCCAGCGGCTAAAGACCCTGCAAAACCCACCGGAAGATGCGCCCGGAGCCCTAGGAGTGGGTGAGGGTGGGGGGTGAATTCACAGGGTTGCACCCGGAGCCCTAGGAGCTGGGGGAAGGCGGGTGTCCCTGCAGTGAGGAAGGGAGAGGGAAGTGTGTGCGGGTAACAGGGGGACTGGTTAGGTCATTCCGCTCCAGGGTTGATGGGGGGCTTAGAAACAGCTGAACTGGGGAAGGCAGGATCCACTTTCACTCACTGGGGCTGAAAAGGGACCCAGGCATGTGCCAGTGACACCGGGCAGAGCCTGGCACCTCCTGGAGGGGCCATGACAAGTCTGCCTGCCTGCCGGGAAGAGACACACACTGTGTGGGCAGGGGGGAGGGCTGGGGGCTGTTCCCAGAGAGGAGCGGGACAGGACGGAGAGAGACGCACACTGGGTGTGCGGGGGGGCGGGCTGGGGGCTGGTCCCAGGGGGGAGCGGGGAGAGACGCACACTGGGTGTGCAGGGGGGGCAGGCTGGGGGCTGTTCCCGGAGGGGAGAGGGACAGGACGGAGAGAGACGCACACTGGGTGTGCAGAGGGGGCAGGCTGGGGGCTGGTCCCAGAGAAGAGTGGGACAGGACGGAGAGAGACGCACACTGGGTGGGCGGGGGGGCTGGCTGGGGGCTGTTCCCAGAGGGGAGGGGGACAGGACGGAGAGAGACGCACACTGGGTGTGCAGGGGGGGCAGGCTGGGGGCTGTTTTCAGAGAAGAGTGGGACAGGACGGAGAGAGACGCACACTGGGTGTGCAGGG